TTGCTAACTTTCAGTAACAATGGTATTTTACAGTTTTTGTATAAACTAGCTGCAAATGTCAACTACTATGAGGTGTCAATTGTTTCAGAGACAAGGCTGCTGAACTAGCAAACAAATGTCAAGCCCTGTCGTTACTAACTGGCCGGTCGGTAAATGACCTGCAGACTGCCGCTTTGGACTTAGTCAATTCGGGATATGACGAAACCAGTGTGATTGCTGCCTTGATGAAATCAAGCGGTGATAGAGTCGAAGCGGCCAAAATCCTCGAAGGAAACAGTGTGTAGAGAAAGTGCAGTGGTGAAAGCTGCCTTGGAGGACGCTATTTACTGCGACTGCACCTGATTCTCTAAAGTACTTGTGCTTGAATACGCCCCCATACTGCAACTTTTTGTGATTAAAAATGTTCAGGGGCTGCGATGCTTTCATATCATTTTCATTTGACGGTTATGTCTAAGTTGTCAGCTCGCCAGCCTCTGGCCCCTCAGTTTGCTCTTAATAAATGCGGTCACGAACTTCTTTCATTAAATGAAGGGAAATTTTGGTCTGTATGTTAAAAAAGATTATCGAAATTACTCTGCCTACTCCATGTCCTTGCAGACAGTTTGTTTGGATCCTTAATACATTTTTGTATTCGCGCGCATACCTAGTTTGTTTCTTCAAGTTAATCCTACAGTAGTCGCTAAAGACAGTGCAACTTTCATGGTGAAATTTGACTTGGTACTTACCATATAGAGTAGTTGCCGGCTATTAGGCCCACCTCGGGCCCAGACCAACTGGGCTTATAAGCCGGCGGATTTTGCTATGTAAAATTCCGTCCCAAGCTGACCTCGGGCTTAATACGCGGCTGGGCCTACTAACCGTGGGCTTAATAACCGGCGACTACTCTAATAGCTAAAAGCTCGGACTAATAAGCGGCTGGGCCTATTAACCGTGGGCTTAATAACCGGCGACTGCTGTATTTGGTACCAATATTTTTATTCATTGAGTGAATTTAATTCTGCAAAATCCTTTTAGTTAGGAAAATAACCATTTACGTTAGGCTTATTAAAAGAAATGGCCATTAATTTTGGCTAACGTGGGAGTAGTCTCATATCGATGGAATTTCCTATCCTATTACGAATAACAGAACCAAACTGCTTATTAATGTTGATGTACAACTATAGAGGAACTCCAAAATTTGTAAAATAGTTATAGAAGATATCCCTTCGAGAACTAGAAAACTTTGTCCAAAGTTGTTCGGTTTCAAGTGAAGCCAAGTTGAAGGAATCGCATTTATTTGCAATACCATTTGAGATTTGTATCTTAAAAAATATTTTTAGCTGAGCTGTGTATTTTTGTCGCATAAAATGCAGTAACAAAAAAGTTTCATCGCATTTTGTTTAAACCACACCTCTGACCTTCGCGTTTAAGCAAAGTGTCCGCATATGTTACCGCGAAGGTAACGTAAATAATGCCTTAGTGAATGTAAGTCATGTAGCAAGATACTTTTTTGTAAACTATACGTTTCGCATATGCGTCATTTAAAAACAGAACAGAAGAATAACAAGTATTTCAAAAAATGGCCATATATGGCCTGTTTTTTGCATTCGCAAGCTTATAACGGATCGTGGAATTAATCCACTTAGGCGGAGAATAATCCATTATGAAGATAAAAGTAAGTTCTTTCATCTCCAGTCAAAGTAAATCGTATATCTTCAGGTAAATTAAAGAACTTGTCAAAAGTTTCCAATACTATTGTGCCATTACCTTAAAAAACGTTAATATACACAGCAATTCGTCAGCCGAATATCTAATCAAAGCACTTTTTTAAAGAGGCAACCTATTAGAGGAAGTTATTTTTGTAAAGCTTAGGAATAACAATACCCTACGTATCTTGTGGAGGTTCTGTACACTTGACAGTGTGGTTTGCTGTTTTGAGGCACTTCTAACTATGATCCATATGGACACCTTCAGAAGAACTAATATCCAAAGAAGCTTTCGGTAAATGCTCTTTATATATATCTTATGTTCAGGGTTTTGATGTAAACGTCGAACCGAATCGCAATTTATCAATGACGACACTGAAAACGAAGAAAGTGATGCCAGACTCTATTCGACGATATTCAATGAATAGCTATCCACTAATAGTTATCTGTACAAAAAAATTGACTAAAGAAAAGTTCCTTTTATATAAAGAAATTGGTTACCTAAACTTAAAAGATAAATAAAATATTTAGAATTATTATTCTAAATAATAGCTATTTTTTACTTCTCCGAAACTTGCGGATTATCGGGAAACCTATATTTTCCTTAACAAACACTTGGTACTTCTTAAACTTCGTTTAAGTTTTAAATATGTCCAATGTTGTTCATTAGTATTTCTAAGTTTTCCTACATGCAGTTAAACTGGTATTGAAGTAATAATCAAACTTTTACAAAGTTATGAAAGTTGCACGATTTTTAGCAAATACTGCATACCTTTTTTGCTCAGTGTTCGGATGGAGGTCCGTGAAATGCATACAATTTTCTCTGCTGATTATCAAGCTCTAAGCGGTAATTCTTTACTCCAAGGAAGAAAAATTTTCGTGCATCGATGCTTGCTTTGCCTAGGCGTAGTTTTAGGGGATGACCGCGCATTTTGTTGAACAAAATTTCAGAGAATAGCAAAAATATTTTTAAGTGAAACTATTTGTTGTTTCTGAAAATAAATGCGATTCCTTAAACCTGAACTCCCTTCAATCTGAGCAATTTCGGAAAACTTTTTCCGGTTCTGGAGGGGACATTTTTTATACTTTCTACCTATTTTGGATTTTTTCCCACAGTATAATGCACAATGTTCGGCTCTGTAATGCGTAATAGCAAAGGAAATTTCCTCGATACGAGACTACTCCCAATTTCGCCAAAATTAATGCCCATTTCTCTTAATTAACCTAAATAAAAGTGTGCTTTTCCTTAAAAAACGTTTCTGAGGATTAAGTATACTCAGAGAATCAAAATAGTGTGACCAAATATATGTTAAACTACCAAGTCGCAGGATTTTTCGGCCATACTGTATCTATTTGCGTATAGCAGGAACGACAGAAAATGCGGATTATTTTGATACAGTCTGTTTCAGGCTTATTCTGCCTTCATCAGCGACTGAAAACCCTGACTACCAGCTGGGCCTGAAAACATAAACATGTGCTCGAGTATGGCACGGATTGTCCACACACTAGGCCTAGCAGGTGGACCGTAATCACTGAATCGGACCGTACAGTCTCAGTGCCTCGCCATCTGCCATGGTCTGTCGCTGCTGTCGGGTCTTCACTCAAACGGGTATGGACGCCCAATGATCCATTGTTTTCCCTAGGCAAGCAAGCTCCTTATGGGCGTTAGAGTCAACTAGCAGGCAACCAAAAATGTTGAATTCGACCATGTGCAGAACAATGATTGGATTGATTACCAGGAATTCTAGTTAGAAAAAAAATAGACTCACAAGTTTCTGAGAGCGCAAATGTGAATTTCAGTAAGCATAGGCGATGATTTGGCTACAGTAAACTATTGCATAAGAACACACCCCTGCAATATATTAAGTAGTACTCTAACAATAGTGAAGTTTTTGCGCGTATCAAGAAGACATCGGTCTGGTGGTATGTTACTGTTCACTCTTATATTGATCAAGTTTCCTCTTAATGACCTCAACGGATGCATAAATAAAAACATGCGTAAGCAGAACGGTACGAGCTTCGATCATGGCTACAGAAGAATGCTCCAGTACATAATAAAAAACTAACAAATAAAAATAATATTTTCTAATGAAACCTTGAGCCACTATTTTTACCCTCCCTCCATTCGCATGTAAATGTTCTCCTATATACGACAGTTGGCCTTATTTTCCCATTATGAAACGATTTTATCTTTGTTCATTGTAACTATAACGGGGTCATCAGTACACAACGCTAGTGCCGTTTTGAAAGCAGTCCAATTTGGCCTATATTTGACGAATTTTCCAAAAACCTTTATCCATGATGTCGACAATTGCAGTCCTCGACGCCTATGGATTGTTTTTGATTTCCTGATGGTGTGAGCTTGTGCGCCTAATTTTATTCCTTGTATATGGGGGATTTTTTGGAATTATATTTTCAAAATAAACACTATCTCTATCTAGCAGACTCGTTTCTGCTACGTTTCATGCTCATGTCTCTGATGATGAATCCGCGACGGATGTCGAAACGTCAGGCGAACAAACGTATTGTTCCAGCGATCCAGTCGTCTTCTCAATATCTCTTTCAATCCCAAAGGCACTCTAAACAATGGTGGAGAATACTTTTGAGAGGTCATTTCTTACCAATCCCAGTTTTTTCATCCCGGAGATGGCGAACATGAATGTTGTAGGCAACATGTAGGAAACATGTTTGGACGTGTTGAGTGGACAGAGAGACATGCGAAGAAAGGAATCTTGTGGCCTCATGCACGGCATAGCATGTGAGGTCACTACACATGGTTTAGGAATAACGATAGATAAACAGTTCACGGTAACACCATTTGGAACATCCCGTAGGTCATATGTTTTTGAAAATACTTCCAAATGTTTGAGTAAAAAGGGAACATGGAGGTAGGGGTTTGAACTCTTCATGAGCTGACTCAACACCGTGTAACTTAATGGCAGTTTATTTTAATATTTCACTCCATGTTAAAGAAATACAAGTAATTTCGGAGGCCAATATTTGCTGCGGGATAATCAGTGCTTCAAAGTGTTTCTTTCGGTTTAAAAATTATTGCGCAATGTCGAATTTACAAATCCTTTAAACCGAACAGCTGATGTGAAAACATTCGCTTAGGACGTTCTTAACATATGAGAAATAGTTTTATCCAGGGAAATCACTATGGCCGTTGTGGTTGAGCCTTGTATGACTTGAGTTTCCCTGTTGCGTTTGCAACATAATTTTTGTGTTGTGTCTCATTTAATTATATGCAGATATCTGACAAAACAAAGGAGTTGGGAATGAGGCACAGATTTCACTCTGATCATCCAAACCTCCTCAGTTAGACCACCTCATGCCCTCTGAGTCCATCTGTGACTCTCGCATGAGACGTTCAACCTCACGCGATTTCGGTGCTTTCCGATTGGTTCGTAGGCACCCTGGAATGTCCCTTGGACGCGCAATGGTGCGCGGGAAGTTACAGCTGACACTTTGCACAAAGGGAGGCCGTTTGATGACATGACCATTGCCTACACCGACCGCACTGCCCGCGTTTAGTTGGGGGTAGGTATTAAAATGCGGCATCTCTTTGAGAAGCGCTGCTGCACCAAGTTCAGCATGTGGGCCATCGGGGCTGGGTTGAAAAACCTGACGCCTACATTCGCAGACAGCCACCGAACTGTAGTAACTGCTTGCATCCTCAGCAGCGTATGCTCCCCAGGGGTCCAGTGTGGAGGCACAACTTTGATCATCTATTGGCGGCGCACTGCTTCGACTTCTGTCCGAAAAATCTGCATACTTATTTGCAAACCCAAGCACAATTTCGTCAGTTATCGTAGCTGCTTCTCGTGTTTTGCGTTGTCGATGGATGATGGAGAGCAGGATAAGGATAATTATGGCAAATAATAGGAGTAAGGCTCCAGAAACCGCAGCTATGGCAATGAGCCAGTCCGTGGATGGAGGCGTAGGAGCATTTCGCTTTGAGGAATTAGTTGTGTTCACCATAAAGTCTTCCGTTTGCATAGGGGCTATTAGCTATGGACAATTTTTAGCTGCAGGTGATATCGAAAGAATGCCTGAAAGAAAAAAAGTGGAGTTAAATAATTTCATATTTATGTCTATATCAACTTATGGAATTATATAACCGAACTACTTACTCATATAATTATTAAAAATTTTATAACAAAAATGTGCACATAAATCATAAAAACGATCATGCGAACTCGTGATCCGGTAGGACTGGTTGATGACTGTTAATAAGTTGGAAATAGTCATCTCACTCAAACTTATCTTTGACAGTAATCCGGCTATTACATGTACCTGAAGGATGGTCTACTTTAAGTCTCAATATATAAAGGCATGATCCGGTTCTGTAGAGTGACGTAAGCGCCTTTACACACCTAGAATGAGAACGATCCGTCACCCTCCATCCCTAGTCCCGCGATGGCACTATGTGCACGCGAATGATGAGCTCCGAAGACAAAACAGAACTTAATTTATTGGACAGAATTATGCTTGAGAATCTCCCCCGCCTGATCCTTCCTCACTGTCACCGTGACTACGTATATTAATCAGCATTAAGATGCATGTCACCACCAATAAATATAGCTAGGCTTCGTATCGTGCTTAGCTTTGATGATGGCAGCTTCTTTGTTTTTACACGTCCTGACAATATATATCTTGTTCCTCTCTTTTATGCCCAGGGACAAATGACTGCAGTTCTCCGTCTGAAATGCTTCATGGAATTGCCTGTATGCTTCTATTAGCGATATATATATGTATATATATATATTCACTCAGAAATGTGCGAACACCGATCGAATA